AAATATCAATTTTAAGCGCCCAGGAATGGAATTCAAGCGGGAAGTTGCAGGGAAGCAGCCATTTTATGATTTGACATTGGAAAAGGGGGGGTGGTGGTAGTTTATTGTTTATTAGAATGCCAAATCATAAAATGACTGCTTCACGACTGATTTGAGAGCGACCGCCGATGCGAAAACAGCTGTGTGAGTCCGAAAATTAGTTTACAAAATCGCAGGGCAGGAATGGAATTAGCGGGAAGTTGCAGGGATGGCCCTTTAGGTGAACCGTTTTTCTATTTTTTTTTGTCAGATCAGGCGAATCCCTCTAGATAATCGTCAGATTATCAGACAGTACGTTTAGAACATAAAGATGAACCACATATATCTTAATCTGACGCGCTTGAGTATTTCAAAATTGCGATTTTTTTTGCAAATTATGAAAATGGCTGTGGGTTTGCGTCCCATCGAAATCGTCAGATTAGTGAATGAGAGCTTTTTTTTGGTGCACTTAACACTCCCTTAGAAAATCTGACGCGCTCGATAAATTTTTTTTTTTCATTTTCAACCCTTAAATACAACCACCCGCATCATGCAAACGATCAGATTAACATACGTACATTATTAAAAATACGTAGGGCATAGATGCTATCAATATCTGACGCGCTCGAGGATGTCCATGCAACAGTTTTTTTTACATATTTAATAATCTATAGCCGCTTCCCCCACCGATGAAAAGGAATTTATCATATAACATTTTTTTCTTCTTATTATCTAAGCTTTGCATCCCAATAGGTCTCTACGACGCTCGAGTAAATCCCCATTTAGCATCGTGGGCTCCCCTACCATAATGTCCAATAGTTCCACTACACTTATATTCTTTATAGGTAACGTTAGTGTTACTTAATTTTAAGAACCCTTCAATAAGCCAAGTTAGTGTATATGTTAATCCAGTGTTGCTACCCCACTACCCCTAACTTTATGTTAGTTATATATTTATGTAATAAGAGTCAAAAATGAGATGAATCATAACGGGCTTAAAAGTTCTATAATTTTTGTTTTATATTCCTTAAAAAAATTACGTTGAACATTATAAATATAAAACTTTATGACACACTGGCGCTTTAATTATTTCTAAACAAATGTGATGTGTTGGCTAAACAAATTATTTCAAAATTTTACAGGTATCCCAGAAACGGCAAATATAACGAATAAAAGAAATTCTAATAAGTCTGAAAACCAAGAGCAAGAAGAAGATGACATTTTATATAAGTTCCCCTCACCCCCAAGAGAGTCAAACCGCGCTAAGAGGGCGCCGCCGAGGCCCAGATAGTGAGTTTTTTATACATACAGCATTAATCTTAAAGCAGATTATAAACATTCTATAAACTATCAGTAATTGATACGACTCGTAGATTGTTCAATGCACAGGAAAATAATGACGATAATGAACAACGCCTTGTCTAATGCATACTTTATTTCTTTTATCAATTTCATTGAAAGCCAATTTTCCATCTTAAAACATTTAATAAAGGAATGATTATATTGTACAGATGATGTACTTTTTCCATGTTTTCATAGATAAATGTAAAAGCCAGACACAAGTTTCGGTGCCAACTGTCATCTGTCAAATGGTAAACTGAAATTGACAGATCGGGGAAAAAGTACGCAGTTTAACTTGTATTTGAACCTTTTACGATCTTTTTTATTCCTTTTTTTTTCTAATTTCTGCCGGATTTTTCAAACGGGGTTGATTTTTTGCTTAAAGATTGATTTATGATCTGTCATGTTTAATTTTTCTAGTACAATACATGTATATATTTTTTATATTTCCTTGTTTACTATATATGAGAAACATAGATTTCTCTATATATATGTTTCTCATATCTAGACTTATATAATGATTCTTTATTGGTCTGAAATTTTTTCAATGTCTTAAAGTCAAATGCTTTTTAAGATATATTTAAAAAAAGTCATTGTTTTATAATAAAGTACCTTTTGAATATGATGATAAATTTAATTACATATAAATAAAATCAATATTAGAATCATATTTATATATATTTTAATGTATTATATCCAATGACCAGGCCCTTGTATAATTAATATTTGATTCACACTGGTAATCGAACTTTATTATTTATGGTCACACATATTAGCTTCTATAATTTGAAACACTAATTTTCTAAAAATAGCTATTCAATGAACTATAAAGTTTTTTTATATTGTTTAGAATATCTCACAACAAGTATTTTTCTAGATTTTATCCAGATTATGGCATTTATAATTACTTTAAACCTAAGTCAAGTGTGGTTTTAAAATCATATTATTAAGTCCATTTCTTGTACAAAATTTAAAGTACAATTCTTTCTAATCAACCTTTAGACATATTTTTATATATTAAGACTTTGACTTCTAATGTAAAATGAACTATCAAATTATTGTAAACATGAATAAAGTAGTGAGATGTATTATTATTAAGTCACATTTCGTTCTAAAAATGGGAGCAGGTGTTTTTAAATAAAATTTTATCAGTAAAAATGTGTTTTGTATTCATTACTGGGGGTAATTTAAGTTTCCTGATATAGAGTATTATATTTAGTTGTACATTGCTTTCTTTTGCATTCCAAGCTGACAGCTTATCATGGCTCCGCTACCTGCTTCCATCCCGCACTTCACCATCTGCTTCTAATGCATGTGTTTTTTAACAGCACTTTAAAAACCGCAAGAATCTACTCCTCTCCCGATCACATTTCGCTTCATTCTGAAGAAACACAAGGCTACATAGATACAGACTGCAGTCCAGTCATATGCTTGCGAAAGAAAAGAAAAACAAGCTTTGTGTCACGCAGACTTAGTCGCTACCGTAAAAAATCTATTCCCAGCATCACTGAAGATCTCTCTAGTGAATGCTCTTTACTTACTGCACCTATTCAAACACAAACTTTCACTAACACCAGTCTAAGCAGTCAGATCTATAGGTCTGATTCTTATCAGCTCCTAATGCCGAAAGGCAAAGTCGCAACTAATTTAGAGAAGATTGAAGAATTTTCGATGAATTCCCATGAAGATGAATTACCTAGTAAGAACAGTTTTGAAGCTGGAGACAATTTCGATAATCCAAACAATTTCATATATAAAGACCAATCCTGCGATATATCCCTACCAACATCTCCCGTACTTTCAATTGTAGAAAACTTTTCTGTAAACAAGAGTCTTCTTAGTAATCTAGATGAAAATGATGTAAGCGAACCAATTACACTTAATAGCCTCATGCCTGTAGTAGATGTATCTATGCCTCTAATGGAATCCAACTATGAAGTGAAGAAAAAAAGTGAGGATGGAACACAATTTCATTACAATTTGAGAGATCAATCTATTTCCGATTCTATCGTAAACAAAGTGAGCACAGTACGAATTGACGATGTGCCTAATTCGATCAGTACAAAACTTAGAAACTTAGTGATTGAAAGTGCAAAGAAAGATGCCGTAAAAGTTAAATTAGTAGAAGTTCTCAAAGAGCCGTTAATAGCTGAGAAACCAAAGGCTAAAGCAAAAAAGAGGTCTTCGACGCCTAGAAAGAGACAAAGTACGCGCGCATCAAAATCCTCCCTTTCTGACCCCTGTATTGAAGAACATACTGAAACTTGTTCCAGAGCCGTGAATCGATCTCAGACACCAATTATAAAAATTACAGATGTGGATTCGGAACCACCCCAAAATATTCAAACGAAAAAAGTAACCAAGGGAAGAGGAAAACCCAAGAAAGATATTATCAAAGTAAAGTTGCCCAAAGTGGTCACAAGACGAAAGACTGACAATGCTTCTAAATCCACAGAGGATGTGGGCGTTAGTAATGATACGGAATCCGGTATTTTCCTTCAAGGGTTAAATGATAGCGTTGAGTTGATACACAATCATTCGGACACGTGTTGTAAAGCTCATGAATGCATAAACGACAGTTTGGAAATACTGGAACCATCGCTAAAATCGATTATAACTATCGAATCGGATTCCGGTCGTATCGACGAATATAACACTGTTATGGACAAAAATGTTGCTTTCGAAATGATTAACCAAAACGCCCAAGATGGCACGGATTTAACTGCAGGTAAATATTTCCATATTGTATTTTAAAAAAGATTTAATAATAAGATCCCAGACTTCTTTTGCTAATTGAGCATTCTCTTGTTCAGTTTAACTTTATAAATTTTAACTGCATTATTGATGCAGTGGACACAGCGTCTCCTTGATTGATGATTTTTCTGAGCTCTAAAATAAATTATTCCAAAACAAAACACGAATAATACCAATTTCCTAATTTTATCGTATTTATTAACAGCCTTAGCCAGGATCCGCTCTTCTTCAGAGATATCAAACAGCCTTCTTACTGATGACCTTTCTGACGAGATCGCGACTCCAAGATCGTCGAAATGGTATTTGCTCTCCGAAGAAGAGAATTCCACCACTCTACAAGAGAAAAATTGTCAATACAACTATGGTGCAAATTTAAACCAAATATTTCCAATTACTTGCGCTGTACCTAATCTCTCTACCATTTCCGAAGCATCCAAAGACATTGATGAAAACTCTAGGAATGACGCTAATAGAAAGTTATTTAATTTTTAACGTATTTATTTTATATTTGTATGATTGTAAAGTTTTGCGCTGTGCGTTATTTGTAATATTGATAAATAAACATTGAATTAAATTGATTATAACAAAACTTTATTTCAAATCTCTATCCCCTATATTCTTATTTATATATAGGTAATAATATCAAAAAGCTAACATTTCAAATAAACTATAAATATTACATACACTAATTCTAAATTCAATAATCTCTAATAAAATAGATCAACAGATTATAATAGGCTATGGTTGTATATAGCTATGGTCTAAATGCATTTAGAAAATCTAAACTTTTTTGTCTCTACGTGTTTTGACAATTACTTAAATTATTAGTAACATTTTAAAATTATTAGTGATATATCTGATATAACTAGAAAATCTTGTAATATAAAATGACACACGCATATTACGCGGACGCGTGGAAAAAAACAAATAGACGACAAAGAGTATGGTACACCGAACATTTGATGCCGGCTCTGCTGGCAGCGAAAGAGAAACGGGTTCGAGATATCGACACTCTTATAGCTATGACGCAAGAATTAATCGATGTAAGTATTTGATGGGATATTTTACAAAATAAACTTTCTGATAACATAATTGCAAGAGACATAGACGCCTAGGTATCTACTTAACGTGCGTGAAAAGTTCCATGTAAATCTTGCCCATAATACGTTTATTTTGTAAAGATTTATTTGATTTGATTTATTAGATGGACACTTACACTGGTTAAGAATATAAAATGCTTTCAATTTCACTGCAATTTAGAATTTACCAAAACAATTCTCAAACTCCACCTAGAAGCAAAAATCTATTCAGTAAGAAAGCGGTCTGCTCTGAAATCTTAGCGATCTGTTTAAGATATCACAAACTCCTTGGACTAAAAAAAACATCTGAACACATCTAATCCCAACAGTTTTTTGCATTTATTATTTTTCTTTTGCGTGAGGTAAGTTCGGTGGCGGTTGTAGTAGGGATATTCAAATATATGTTAAAAGAAACTCTTTTTTTGAGCTGCCTTAGCTTATAACTAACATAAATTAAGGGTTACAATTACCAAAAAACACCGGGGATTAACAAAAAAACTAACTAGGCTCATTGAAGGGTCTTAAATCTTAAGTGTTAGTAACACCTTATGTTACCTGTTATAAAGAATTGACATAGTCGGAGTCGATATATATTGCAATCATTTATGAGTGTGGGGAAAAACTAAAAGCCTCATTTTGGCTTCAAGTGTGCGATGATTGCTATTATTTGGTTTACTCTTCTAATTATTAACTAAAATATATAATAAAACTTAACTAATATTAGGTTACATAACTCGTGATGCAATTTCTTTTGTAATTTATGCTTAACATGCAAAATAAGGATTATTTCTTCCAATCTAGTACGTACGTACAATATTTACCTGTTTACGTATAGATATATAACGAACCGGCTGCGAAATCAAAACCCGTGAGTCCTCGTGTTGTGGAACAAAGTGATGATCTCAATCTGATGAAACCTATTGAACCTGAAGTGCTGAATTTATTGTATGGTAGCACAGAAAAGGGTGCCGCTGAAAGATATCTTAAGGCTAGGTATAAGAAGGCACCAGAAGATAAGTAAGTATTACCTTGTTCTTGACAGATACAAATTTTGGAAGTATTTGTACGAGGCCTTAACTCTTCGGAAGTCCGGTTCTATTATTAAATACAATAATAACATAAACTTCATGTAATCCTTATTATAGCACCCGAATTGAATTACTATTAGTACAAACAAACAAAAAATAACTATAAAAACTACGACTGTGCAAAATAAGAATATAGAAAATGTTGCTAGTTTTTACAAGTGTCTTTACTAAAAATAAATTTAAACGCTGAGCCAGTACTTAAATAATCCTTGGGCGAGGTAGGCCAATCGATTCATGAAAATGAATATAAGAATTGACTTTGACTAATAATGTAAAATTCCTTAAGACAAATATGCGAACTTACGATTGTAACCTTACACATTTTTGTATTAATAAATAAATTATTAATATAAAAATATTAGCAAAGATTCTCATTACCCTGCAAATTCTCGCATAAGCACTGGACAGCATGACGTGAATTTACGTATTTTTTTAAATCACATAAGTATCTGCTAAGTCGATACTCCTTTAGTTTTGTAATAGGAATATATGTGTAACGTAAGATTGTAATCTATCTCGCTAGATTGTAATCTGTCGAAAGATTGTCAACTCAACGTACTGCTTACAATTTAACGTAATATTATTCGGTAGATTGTAATCTATCGAAGTGAAACCGTCAAATTACAATCTTGAAATTGTCAAATTGTTAAATTCCGAAGGCTGTCCCTGATTGGTCTGCTTTATAGTAGACCGTTCTATGTCCATAGAGTTATGTCCATAGAGTTAGGGGAATGAAACACGGGTATCAGTCAAATAAACTGAATGCATCTTCAAGAATTGTGACATCAAGTATTTATTCATTACTTAGTAGGTAATCAATAATTCTGACATCACAAATTGTATCAAAATAAAAAATCAGAAACGTAACAATATTTTCTCCTCAAACATAAATTAAAATTGAAAAAGTATTGAAATTTTCTTTCATTTAATTTCAACACTAAATTAGTTATCATTCAAACTTCTTTGGTCAATCACAGATTAATTTTACTTTCTAACACTTTCATATAACTTATTCTAAAGCTGTGAGTTACTTTCAACACGAAAACAATTTACATTCATCAAAACATACAATTTACATTCGATAACAAACGTATTAACAAACAAATATGGTGGCGCGGGGCATATTCCGTTCAACCAATAAGCGCGCGAGGTGCGATCCGTTTCACAATTTGACGGTTTCACTTCGATAGATTACAATCTACCGAATAATAATACGTTAAATTGTAAGTACGCTGAGGTTCACAATCTTTCGACAGTTTATAATCTCGCGAGATAGATTACAATCTAACGGTTTTTACAATTTTACGTTAACATATGTATAAAATTACTTTTTAAGGTTTTATTTCCGTGTCGCAACCAACTTTGACTATGGATGGCAACAGAAGCAGGGTCGAGTGGCTCGAGACGTGAATCGTGGTCGTTGTGCGATACTACGGGATACGTTCTATCGCAAAAACAATCTGGCACCGGATCCCATACATTATTCGCAACCTGCCGGTGGCGAAATATCGATTTGTAGCGAATATTCATGTCATTTCAATTAAAAACCGTTAAGATTATCATTGGATAAGAAAAAATGTTTGTCTCTCGTCAATCTTTGTTCACATTCCTTCATTTATTTTAAAGCTAAATTTCAGACATGGTTCGACAGGTTAATCCTAGGTTATATATAATAATAATAGACTTATATTTCAGATACTTTTGCACTTAAACACATTTATATTTAGCTATCTGTGTGCCTTGTTTTGGCAAAGGCCTCCTCCAAATCCCGCCATTCCTCTCTGCTGTGCCACTCTGTGCCATGTACCTGCTGTTTCTTTATTTTGGTCTACCCACCTTCTAAATTGTCTTCCTCTTTTGCGTTTATTGTTGAACACCAGTTTAATACTTTCTTGCTCCACTTTTCTGTTTCTATTGCCACGTGCCCCGCCCATTTCCACTTCGGTTAATTTTTATTGTAACATCTGCTACCTAAGTTGTTCTTCTTAATAATGTATTATTATTAGAAAATAAATATTATAGAAGTGCAATAAATAAAGAGACTTTTTAGCAAAAAACATATATTTTATTATTTACAATAGTTCAACTTTTATTTACATATTAACAACAGCAAATGTGCCCACGCGTAAGGCCGCATTACACTGTCTATCGGAATAATCACATAAATGTATACATGTTAATTTACAATTCTCGCCTCCGAGACGTTTTAATGGACAGATCTATGGAAGAATTACTCCAATCTAATAAAAAATATAACTACGATATTGTGACGTAACTATACAAAGCGAATCCGTCCATCAAAACATTAAAATTAATTAACCAAGCCCGTGTACGGTATCGATAGCGTACGCGTACGTGCCGTTTACGAACGCGTACGTGTATTGGCTTCGTACGCGTACGCGAATGCTCAATACCGTACACAGTTCAGACGATCGTCAACTAAATGTCGCTAAAATAAATATGAGACGTCTTTGTTCTTTAATCGATAATATTTACATACAGCCGCACTCGACTGTTAATCGTTTTGCCGTAGATTGTGCAAAATATGGTAAAACCTAAGTCGAAATATAACACGTAGCTTAAAAGTGCAAGGTTACAAGAGTACTACTTCTATTATTGCCAAATTTAATAAATGATTGGTCAATCGCTAAATTTAAATCAATTAAATTGCCGGCGTTTTAGGTCCTTTAATTCATTAATTAAACTCGACATACGGGCCTATTTTACACTGACTGGCTTTTGTTATCAGCCATACAAATTATCACAAAATCAGTCTGTCGCATACATACTAAGTTTGTACTGTCTCTGTTAACTGATTTAATGCAATATCACTATTGTTAATTCAATCGAGAAACTTAGTACATTAAAAGATGGTGATAAATTAAGTAATAGATTTTAACAAATTCGTGGAAAGATAAACCGGACATGGTCACGAGGCAGCTAATTAAACAAAATGTAACTGTGCTGTGCTCAGTTCCTTTATAGCACAGCATAATATATGGTCGTGGTTTCCTTGTTTAATAACCCATTAGAATTTGTTTTAGAAATTTTTTTAAATCGATTTCTTAAATTTTTCAAGTTACAGTCTTTCATCTGACAAAAACGTTACATTTTTTTCGCTATTTGTTATTAAAACATCGAGAGCGTTAAAAGTGATTTTGATTCAAACAAATTTGAATATATCAGTCTGACAAAAACGTTAAATATATTAATATTATTATTTCGTCGCGAAATTAAAAGTTGATTTTTCAGACAATACTTTACCGGTTGACATGTTCAAGCCACACCCGGAAATTCATTCACATCCATACCGACGGCTGCTGTCTCAACAATTTGGCTACGTGTGACTAACGCTAGGTGCGGGCAAAGCCGGGGGTGGGCCGCTAGTCCAATTCACAAGGGCGTGTTGAGGGAGCTGCGTGGCCTGGAAATGGTCTTTGAGCAGCGCCTGGGAGAAATTGCAGTGCATTTGATACGCTTCGTTCTCGCGCTCCGAGTCGCCCGCGAGACGGTAGAGGTCTGGAAAATAATTATCAAATTTAAGAATATATCAAACGCTAGGCATTCTCAATTGAGCAATGATTTATGGAATGTAACGATATAACCAACCAGTCAAGAAGAAGTCAAGGTGGATTAAACCAACCAGTCAAGTGATTTTGATGTTTTAGGGGCCTTAAATATAACCTTAAACAGAGTAACACTATATGCAAGTATTATAGTACTTTTTTTTAAATTGAAACTTCTTTAGGCGCATGAGGGTAAAAATTTACGGAACGTCACGAAGATGTGCAGCGTTTTTGTCGATGAAAAGAGAGCGATTGAGAGAAAGTGAGAAGGGTGATTTACCTTATAGAAATTCTGTTGTTTAAATTATACTTTCGTAAAGGGAATCTACGAAATATTAGTATTTTATATTTTATGCAAAATAATTTATTGAAATCTCAAATGACGAATTGTAAATTAAAATGCCACGTTTTTATTATCGAAGAAATAAATTTAAAAAATTAAATTTATTATTAATATTTACACACTGACACTTAATATTTTAATGACAATTAAATTAATTAAATTCCTAACATCTTCTTTTTTCCCTCCCTAAGTCTCGGAAACTTGATAACAGGAGTTGTAGTTGAGTTTGAGATTGTGAATTAAGATACGAGTTATAATTATAACCAAACTCTCGACTCTGAATCTTAAGTATGACGGCCGACTATTTATTTTAAGCTATTTTATAAAAATAAATAAATCAGTATAACAACATATTTTTTGAGGTCTGGGCCTCAGATTTCTGTATGTGTTTCATTATCATTTTTCAATCTAATACCATCCTTCTGTGGCTGACACACACCGTCGACTTTTTGGGTCTAATACATGTCGGTTTCTTCACGATGTTTTCCTTCAACGTTCGAGCGAATGCAATACTTGGCGATTAAAAAGAGTGGCGGAAAGTTTCTTGCCAGTTCTTCTTACCCGCTCTACGCCCTTGACTTGCGAACTGGTAGTAAATGTAAATTTACGATTAATTTAACTTGACGATTCAAAAGTGTACTTGGTTACCTACTTGAATAAAGATATTTTGAGTTTGAGTTTGAGTTTGAAAATGCGCACATAGAAAGAAATTCCATTGGTGCATCGGGGATCGAACCTACGACCTCAGGGATGAGAGGCACGCTGCAGCTTTTATATAATTTATGTATATAAGTTATTTTTATACCTTTGAGAATAGCCGACGCCCACAATTGCACGTGCACGTCCGGTATTTTACTCGCCAATTGCATAGCAGGTGTCACCATATTCATGCTTTCGCGGGAATTGTTGATAGAGAGGAAGATATGGCCCAAGAGCACGAGTGAGCAGGACGTAAGACGATTTAGGTCTTCGGCGTTCGCCATCTTCAACGTTTCACGTAAATACCGTCTGAAATATATGGAAATTATTGTGACATACATAAAAAAACTATTTTCTTTCCTTATCAGTCTCGTAGCAACGCACTTGCGAGCCTACGGCCATTGTGAGTGACTATGAACAGTATTACTTAGGGAGCGTTCAAGTATTACGTAACGAATTTGGGGGGTGGGGGAGGTTGGTCCTTTTGTAAAACGTTACGATGCGGGGCGGGGATTGAATTACGCGTTATTGTTAATATTATTTTCGACTTCGATTTTACACCACATAATGGTAACTTTTAGCTATGAAGAGTGAATAGGTGGTCACGAAACGTTATACTATACGTGGATACATAAAAACGTTACGGCACGTTACATGGGGGGGGGTTCAATAATCTCCAAAAATTGCGTTACGTTATACTTGAACGTTCCCTTAACAACAGGTTTGCCCCGTTACATTAAAAATAACAAGTTACGATATTTTTGAGATTATTTTTAGCATAAATTGTTAGGAATAATCATGGAATTGTTGAATAAGTTTTATTGTTAATATAGCAGAGATTACAATCGGTACAGCCAGTTTATCAAAGGTAATTTATTATGCTATAAAATCATTCAAAAACTAAGTTTGACTTTTGGCTAAATTTTTGAAAGAATTCCCAACATTTCTCCGTTATTATTATGACATTATGATAATGAATATGACATTTGCATATTTTGATGTGGCTAATTGTGTTGTTTATTATTATTAATTAATCTGAATTTACCATTGTCATTACAAATAAACCATTTATTATGATTCCATCTTTCTATGCTGAAGAATGATCGTTAAATGAATTATTCATGTAACGATTTAGATATTTTTATTAAATTGGTAAATATTTTTAAAAGTTGAAGTTGGTTTATAATATTTTAAAATATCAAATGAATTAATAAAAATATACAAACTTGGCTTCATTATATCTCGCCTGGAAGAAGGCCTGTAGGCCTAGAACATAGTAAGACGCGGCGCGAAGGCCGTGCGCGTACGCAGGTAATGCTTCGGGACGCACCTGAAAAAAAAGTCACAATGTTTACGTATAAAATAAACTATAACTTTAATTAAGCCTTAAGAAACGCTCAGTAATGGAACGATGGACGTCAAGGTGATACGGGTGATATTTTATATTCTGCCTTGACGTCCGACAAAATATGCAAAATACACGAAATCCACACAGGCGACACTGCGGTCGGTAAATACTTCTTGTAATTAACTAATATTATATTAATACCTAATCAAAATATGATTCATTGCTATAGCTGTACACGTTCATAAGAACGTCAGTAAAAAAATA